GGGCATGCTCGTTCCCTCGCCTCCCCAGGGAAGATCATTTCTGTAAGAGCCGGTCTACCTCAACAGCAGCGTAACGTGCTGCACCCGTCTGTATGCACGCACTTTGGAAAAGGCTGTGTATGAAAATACCTTATCGGAAGGCAGTTTTATAAATCTGCCAGCATGTTGGACAAGCACCCTAGAAGGCCCCATCTGGCTGTCAGGCTTTGAAGGAGAAGATCGTTTTACACTAAAGGGGAATTGTCGTCATGAAATATTCATGCAGTAGTCCTAATAAAATGTGGCAAGCAAGAATTTTTGGCAAGTGCTAGTCTTTCAGCAACCTTCAGCTATTTTCATGTCTGCAAGCACAACCCAGTGGAACAGAACATCTGACTAAATGAGGTCCATGATTATCCTTCCCCAAACATGGATCTTTACTGTAGCAGCTGTTTTGTATGTTGCTTATTCCTTATCTTTTGTAAGCACTTGCAGACCTTTCTGTGAGCATGAAGGTGTTGACAGTGGTGTCAGGACAACACTTTGTAAACCTGTATTTCTCCAGTCTCTTAGGCATCCAATTTTTCCAGCCCTTTGGCTTTTTCATTTTGAAACTGGTTTGCTTATAAACATGTGAGCCGTTTCTAATATCTTTTGTAATTCACTTCTGTCCTTCAGATTCCATATATAGAAACTAGTGCCAAGGATCCACCTCTAAATGTTGACAAGGCCTTCCATGATCTCGTTAGGGTAATAAGGTAAGCTCTAAACACTTTGTTAGTGCCCACTGATAATTCAGGAGTGCGGAGAGCCAGGAGCCAGCTTTCAGGGCAGCAGGGGAGAGGTGGTTTGCTTGGGGGTGGGGATTTCTGGCTTTTATTAAACTTTCTTTTTCTGTTTCTGCATATGGATGTTACTAACATTTAGTTACCTTTGTAAGATATAGCGCTAGGCGTTTTGAGAACTGACTTGTGGCCATGACAAAAACGTATTGGCCAAGGAGCACTACAAAACTTACCGTAACAATCAACTTTGAAAGGACAGCATGAAAAGCTTGGGACTGGTAATTTGGGTTTTCACAGCTTTGTAGCCTTGGGCTCTTGCGTTGCCTGAGGTTAAAAGGACTGGTTGTTTCCTAATCTTGTAGGTTACATTTAACATTTTCTGCCCGCTAAATGGAAAAAATTAAGCCGTTGTATATGATCTAATGGCTAAGCCACAGGTTTCCTCCTCAGACAGCAGAGGGTTGTTCGCAGTTTTGGCGTGAGCTGCCTCTGTTCGCTTTGGCAATTCGCTTTGCTGTCTGGGTGCAGCCCTGCTCCCACGGCTGTCAGTGCGGCACGTCCTTCCAGGAGAGCCGGGATTGTGTGCCGTGGCCTGCCCCTGCCCTTCGGGAGAGGAGCCGCACGCACATCTCCGCTTCTCCACTGATAACCTCGAGTCTCCCTTGAGAAGATTTGTTTTCATGGCACCGCTTGTCTGCCAGATTTTTATGGGCCTTCAATTTTCATGTTTTGGGGGAGGTGCTGTTAGAGACGTGACCTAAAATAATGCTGCTCCCCATCATGCAGCCAAAGGGGCTTGCTCGGCAATTAAACCATGAGGCATTTATTCACAGCATTTCTGTACTTGTGAATATCTTAGCACAGCTTCGAGTCAGCCTCCATCAAAAGCAGATGGTACTGCCCACTCTTCCCACATATCTCAAAAGCAGGGGGCAGAATATCTTTGGAGAACTATGGAACTGGCTTGGAAATGTCCCAAGCTGTTTCCCAACTGTTCTGTAACTCAGCATTAGTTGGCTAGATACTGCTTTTTGTGTTACAGCAAGCTTTTACCACAATCTATTCTGGAAAAAACAAAAACCAAGCAAAAAAAGATGGTTTTGCTTTTTCTACATAATGTCACTCCAGATAGGCACAGGCTAGAAGGAGCAATTTAATAATACATATTCACTAAGTTCATATTCACTAAGTCTTGAAAATGCACCCCGTAACTTCGGAAATAGGTGATCTGCTTCAGTTCTCTCCATAGTTATCATGAAAGTTTCTGCCCACCAGATGAGACCCTTCGTGGCATCAAGGGCACCAGAGATGTTCAGTAGAGGTTGAACGTTGGTGAAGTCAGAGGGCAGAGAGCTGTCGTGTGAGCTATCTGATCACTTACCGCAAAGCAAATTTGCTTGGTCTGTGGACATTGCAAACTGTCTGCAGTCAGAGGAAACCATCACCCACCAAGCAGTGATTTTTTTTTTTTTTAAGTGAGCTTTACCCAATAAAATGTAAATTTACAACTCCCTAATAAATGTGTCATTTCTAGAGTGCTTTACAAATTTAGAGGCTCCTGACAGCCCATGCGAGCCTGCAGGATGAGGACTCTCATGCAGGGTTGGCAGCATCTGTGCTCCTTGCGTTTGGCCCATTCCCAGGTTATTTAGTTTCTTGCAAGAGCCCGTATTGTCTGAAAGTAATCCAGAAAGGAGTGTGGTGTTTGTCCATCCAACAGATCTTTCAAATTTTCTGATATCTCTTTTATGCTGCAACAGTGCTGTGTTTATGTAAGCACTGTCAGGGTAGAAATCTTGACCGTGTGCAGGGATGTGGTTTTCTGGATCTCTAAAACGGTACTAGAATGCTATAAACGGTTTGCTGCTGCTTGGCGTTTATGCAAATCAACTTACATTATTTTTTATTTCTGCTTTCTAGTTCTGAGCCTTTGTTTCATGTTTTTTTATGACTCCAGCCTTCGTACTTGCTGGAAAAAAGTCTTATTAATCAAAGTTCAGTTTTTCAGATTGTTGCAAGCATTTTGGTGGCTGAGGCTATAAAAAAAAACCCAGCAAATGGAAGCAATAATAATTTCTCCCCCAGCTATGTCTTATCCTGGTCTGGGTAACTTGTTCTAAACGGTTCAGTGTCTGGCATGTTACATGGCAGAAGAGGCCAATTTTGGAACTATTCAAGTTTTCAGGTTTGCTATTTAGACTCTCTTTGAATCCAGGGAAGCTGCCTGTGCTCGTATGGTTTATCTTGCAATAAAATCTAAGTCTACTGACTCCCTGTTGGGTGTTTGAATGACAAAACCATTTTGTGTCGAATTTGCAACTCTGGGCTAGATGAGCGGCTGGTGTAAAGAGGTGCGGGGGACCCCCCGACGCCGGTGCAGTTCGTGTTGCTCTTAGGGAAGAGGAGACAAAACAGCGGGTATCTGATGTTGCAGAAGGGTCAGGACAGCTCGGATCTGACCCAGCGCTGAGCCGTCCAGCCCTCCTTTAAACACTGCGCTTCCCTTTCACCCTCTTCCCCGGCCTGTCCCTCCCTAGTGGGCGTTAACAGCGGTGTGATAAATGATGTGGCATTTCTCAAGAGTCCCCCTGCTCGCCAGGTGCGTTCAGCAGCCTTCGGGCAGGGGAGCGGGCGGCCGTTTGCCCGGGGCGCCGGGCCCTCTCCAGCCACACCGCCCTCTCTTTAGCCTTGGCAGTTCTTAGGGCTTCTCCTTCCCTCCTTGAAAACTGAGGCGGTTGGCGCCTTAGCTGTGCTGGGCGAGAAGTCGCGGGGTGGAGGAAGGGCATATGAAGATAAGTAGGTATAATACGGAGAGAGAGATAGAGAGAGATGTCTATGTGGAGATACCTCTGTGTGTGTGTGTGTACGCACACATATATATAAAAAACACAGACGGACGGTGTCTGCCCCGACCTGGTGGGTGCCACTGTCTCACCTGCTTATTTCCCTCTCCCTCTTCCAAAACAGGCAACAGATCCCAGAGAAAAGCCAGAAGAAAAAGAAGAAGACCAAGTGGCGCGGGGACAGAGCCACGGGCTCCCACAAACTGCAGTGCGTGATCTTGTGACGGAGGGGAGGCCGGGGGTGCCCCCGCACGTCCCCCTCCTGCCCCCCGACCCCAGGCGAACTG